AGCAGGAATCTGTGCCTAGAACCAAGTTAAAACAATACATTCTGAATGCTTCTGTTCCAACTGCAGTGTTTTTAAATTTAGACAAAACATTTACTAGGACATTTACAACCACTTTCAGTTTTTACAACAAACCAAGAACTAAGTTAACTTACCCTTTCCGACCTTCCAGTTTAAGTATAATCTCCACCACAGCAGATTCTGTACAACAGCGTTGTATAAAACTGGACTGACCCTCAAATATCATTTTGCATGCTTTACTAGGGAACATTTGAGTACAATGTACACAGAGAACTAATAACTATGGTGGAAACAAAGTAGAGAAACTAATGTTCTCTCTCAGGTAGGAAACAGCTGCTCACACATCACCTGCTCTGGAGTTTAAATGTCTACAGAAATACACACTGCTACCTAATCAGCTTCCATCTCCCCAGCTCAGCTAACCAGCTGTGCTGCACGGGAAGGACCATTTTTCCTTTTCACCTGTGAAGAAACAGGGATAAAGGTCTCCCAGCAGGGATACTTCAGGTAAAGAGAGACTGCAGGCAGACATGAACCTACTTCATGGAGGGCAGGTGTCGTAGCACCACATCGACAGCATGAACAGGGTTAGTGCTGATAGGCTTGTCTAGTTCCAGCGGCTCAGGCAAGGTTCTTCCTGTCAACACTTCATGCAGCAAGTGCCAGCTCACCCGAGAAACAAACTTTATTGACACTTTGAAGGGACGATCTTTTCCACCTTCTCCTGGTAAGGTCACATCCAAATCCACCTGGGTGGGGGAGGAGAAAACAAAACAAACCAGCAGCTGTTTAATCTCAAGTCTGGTAGCCTTGAGTTTTCATTCCTTCCCACAACTGGGCCAGAGACTCAAAAACAGATATTTAGGACATGGCAGATTTGACAAAAGTACATTATCAAACGCACAAAATAAAGAGAAGTGGGTCCTCACCAAGCAGAAGAGGATCATGTAACTTTTTGTCATCATGAATGAGAAAACTCTTCATTCCAGAGAAATTGTGGTTTGATTTTTTAAATAGTACTTCATTGTAAGATAACGTATTACAGTCCGTAAAATTGAGTATTTAATATATTTTTCTGTAGAAAGATACTGCTAAATTCTAGGGGATGTTCTGAATGCATCTATTACGTGTACATTTACACACACTGGAATTTGCAGAAAATATATCAGGACTCCATTTCAATACAGAAACTGTATGATACTTTCAGCTTTTCTGAACTCAGCAATATTAGAAGTTGGGCTTGTTTCTTTTTATTTCCTAAGAAGCTGTTAACAATACCTTTCCCCCCCCCCAGTTACCTTACCCCAGTAGTAGCCACAGGAAGCGGATTGGCTGTATAGAGGCTTCTTTTCCCATCATAAACCGGTCTACGGTCCCCAAATATTGTCACTTTAAAATGCTGCACCATTGAGTCCACCACCTCCCTAGAAAAGTTGATATTTACATTGAAGATGTTTTCAGAGAAGTATCAGACTGGAACTGGCTCCCACACACCCTGTGTTTTGCTGAAGTAGTTTCAACAAACGTGTCACAAGTGAATTACAGAACGCCCACTGGTATTCCAAAAAGGTGCTTCACGTACTTCAACTCAAATAATAAAGACTAAACAATAGCATCATTATTAATGCAAATGCTCAAATACTGGAAAATATTGTTACTGAAATAATTTCAGAAAGTCCTAGAAACAACTGAGGCCTTTGTATAACCTTTATTACAGAAAACAAGGACACACTTACCTTAGAGGAAACCCACAAGCTAGTACGAACTCACAACTGAAAGTTAATGGTCTACCTAGTAACGTTCATCTGCTTTTCAGTTAACAAGAGTTTTGCACTCTGCCCACCTCGTATATAAAAATGAGGCACCCTAACAAAAACGTCCTAGCTTTTAGTCCTTAGTAATCTGAGTTTTTACAACAGAATTTTTACCAGGGCATGTAGTGATAGGACAAGGGGTGATGTCTTTAGACTGAAAGAGGGCAGATTTAGATTAGACATAAGGAAGAAATTCTTCACCGTGAGGGCGGCGATGCCCGGGCCCGCGCTGCCCAGAGCAGCTGTGGCTGCTCCTCCCTGGCAGTGTTCAAGGCCAGCTGGGACAGGGCTGGGATGGGTCTTGGAGCACCCTGGTCCGGTGGGAGGGGTCCCTGCACACGGCAGGGGGTTGGAACTGGGTGATCTATAAGGGCCCTTCCAACCCAAACCATTCCGTGATTCTGTGATAATGAATTAAAAGCCTGATCAAGTTTGCACACAATTATAGATTCTCCTAACTTTATTATGAGTTGATAGCAATAAAGAAAATGGTAACCTGACACAAGCACTGAGATTACACTTGAAAAAATGACCATAAAATTTTCACCTTATATAAAAAAGGTGTCTTGATACAAGTAGTAGATATATTGGGTCTGAAAAGACTTTTGCAACGCTGCTAACTGAAACATGCCTTCAGGATTTGAATTCTTTGGGGATTCTTTGCGTTTCAGTGGCCCAACGACAGTATCTTTGTTATCCTTAGTCCCTTATTCTACAGGAATTACAAACACTTTTCTTAAGCACGTGCAAAGTAGCACTCTTGCAAAGCAGAAGCTTACCAGTACACTACAGCCTGACCAGGAAACATCAACCTAAAGTCCTTCGGAAAATGATAAATACTGACTTCCTCTTTGAGCAAAATTAGCAGCAGTACTTTCACCTCTCAGCTGGGACTTGGGGAAAGGGAAGAGAAATTCTCCATTTCGCAGTTCTTTATGTTACTAAACTCTCAGAACCCAAATTATTTCACTGACTAAAAGCACATCAATACACTTAAGCAATTTGAAAATATCTACTCAGCACAATTCCGCTCCTGCACAAGCCCATCTTACCCGAAAGCCCTGCTCTGCACTGGTACGCCGCTCCCTTACAACACTACGCGGGGCTAAGTGTGCAAAAGGAACTATTTCCCTAAGTGCCAGCTCATTGGCATGTACCCTGTGACAAAAGCAGAGGGATAAAGGTTCGTGATGAAGAGGAAGAGCAGAAGGGAGCAAGCAAGAGGCTCTGTAAAACAGAGCTCCCCTAGCAGAGTTCTCAGGTGCAGCTCTGCTGGGCAGCTCACGCGCGGCACGCGGCAAAGCAAAGCATTTATTTACCTTCTGCTTTCCACACAGCGGAAACAGCAGAAAGATCACCACTACAAAGGAAAGTGAAAAGGAAACAGAAGACGCTCGAGATTTTAAAGCCTCCCTACAGCTGAAAGCTAATAAAGGTGCAGGTGAATTTAAAAAACCCAGCAACTTTTCAGGAACTAAACCCTCTATTTATTCCAAATACAAGCACATAGACAGGATGTTAGCCAGAAACTATTTCAGAATAGTTGAGTCTATGTAAATCCTGACTAACTTCTTAGAAATGACTGTCACAGCATGCAAAAAAAGGGAAAAATTATTTCTAAGGAAAATTCTTCAAAGCGGGTATTTCAGTATACTGATTTCAATTTAATGAAAGCCATTCTTCTCTGCGTAATCCACTGCACACTATCCAAAGTCATTTATTCGGCAGATGTTCTGTTTTTTTATTGGGGTCATTTATACAAGCTCTTGCAGTTTTTAACTAATGTCTGCCACATTTTTACCCACATGAAAGTCGGTAAAGTAACAGTATTTTTAAATAACCAATTTCACAGTTCCTTACTTTGAAAAAACCAACATGCATGCAAGATTTACCCTCAGCCTTGAGTTTTTAAACTACAGTTTATATTGGGATTCTTACACACTGTATTTGCTGTCAAATTTGAAAACAAATTTAGTCTTTCATTTGAAAATATCTGACTATTAAAGCAACTCGTTAGGTTTGCTGCCTGTGTTCAGCTAGTCGCCTCAGTTTACCTTGACAAAAAACAGATGACTGCTTCTATCAGTTGGTAACGCAGACAAGGAAAAGCAAGACAGTGTCTTTCCTGGTAGAATAGGAAGGTGATGAGGTTCTGGACAAAGCTACACATGCATCTGAACTACATCTGTACTACAACAACTAAATTGATTAACGAGAAACCTCAAAACCCACTTTAACTCCAGTCCATAGACGGCACAACCAGCCCTCACACAACCTCACAAAAGTCAAAAGCAATGGTTAGATACGCAACCTGAGACTTGCAAAAGGCATGAAAAGTTGTCTCAGTTGTAAACATGCTCTTCAGAAAATTACTATTTAGGTAAGCACAAATATTGATAATTTCACAAAGAGTTACTTCACAAACTCAAACCAAATGCTTTTGCCTCTCCACATGAGCTGAAAACGTCAGAAGACACAGCATTTATCTAAGGCATAACCAATTAAAACAAGCTGTGATAAATCTTAACTCTGGTTTTGCAAGCCGGCTTGAAATCACCCTACAAACAGGACCATGAAAGGGATTTTTTTTTCTTTTAGATTTTAAATAAAATTTAGTTGCTATTTTAAAACAACATATTTGAAATTCCCTGTTTTCAAACAATGGTAGTTTTCCCCCACTGCTGTGGAAACAGCTAACTACACAGAGAATCACAGACTGCCACTGCTGGAGCGAGCAGAGTGCTTACAGCTTTGTCCCCCTCGGTCTATTTTAATCCAGCATTTCCATACAACAGACAAAAAAAGTGGTTTTAGTCAGCAGATTTTAAGTGAAATTATCTTCATAACCAGATCACACTAGCAAAGAATCAGATGTACAAAACGGTAAGTCAGTTTAGAACAGTTATATTCTCCCTGTATCCCTATGAGAGTATGATTGTATTAAATATTAATCCACACAGGACTATTATACCCCAATTTTAGCAATTTATTAGTTTCCTTTTAGCTAATACTTAACATAAGTATTTATATAGCCTTCTTAACTGCAGTATGCAAATAGCAGCAGAAAAAAATCACCAGCCAGAATCAGGCCCTAGCAATATGTTATTGTTAAAATGCAAAAAGCCAGAGTTGCAGATGAAAGAGAAAAAAAAATGCTTTTCAGCTACCCTGAACTTTACCTGATGAAATAGATTTCACAAGAGACTAACGAGTAACTCCTCCTAAAAAAATTATTCAATGCTGAGAAGAAATACAGGAAATACAAAATGTTGTAACCTTTAAAAAGCAAGAATGATTACAGCTCTAACGTTAGGTTTTCAATTAAACACACTTTCTGAGAAGGCTTCTCTGGCACCCAAAATTCATGAGGTTTAGGACAAAATACATGAAGGCCGTATATAAAAAGCTGTACTAGCAATCCGTTAAGGCTAAAGAATCCAGCACTCAATAGGTAGAGTTTATTGGATCACCAAATGAACAGGGATACAGAATATGAAAATATTCTCTCCACTTAACCAGCAATCTAGACATAAAGTAGCTTAGGAAGAGATTTAACTGACCCTAATACAGAGCAGACATGAAAATAAGATGAGATACAATGTCCTACACAAAATGTTGTAACAACAGAAAAGGGACACAGGTGGAGCTCAAACCAAGTCTGACCATTTCAAATATACAAAGCTGATTGTATGAAATTATCTATTAACACAGGGAAAACTAGTTTGTTTGCAGTGCTTTCATACAACTACTCCTAACAGAAGTGTTCCAGCTGAAGGCTGTCTCCTCCTGTGCCTACAGCGATGGCTTTTAGTCACTAGCTTCTGATCACAGTACTCGAGTGAATTAAGCCGGCAAACCTTTCAGATTAACCAATGCTGCAATGTATCTCGATGTCAACTGGGGATAAAAACACCCACAGGAACAGATTCCTGATAACTCAAATGATTCAACAGCCAGTATTGCAACCAAAAAAGGTAACTGCCTACAGCTATACCATATTTCTGCTGGCCTGAAGAATAGGGGTTGCTGCCAAACGGCTCGCAAAGAACTGTGACCATTAATGGCTGGCCCGCTTCACAGCATCTGGTCATAACCAGAGGGAACCTGGAAAAGGCTCTGTACCCATCTCACAGATGTTTCTGAGAACTTGTACTCCGGTCTCCACAGCACAATGATCAGATTTCAAGCTACACAGAGACTATATTTACTTCAGTAGGTCCCTCAGTTGCCTTAAAAATTTCAGTATCAGTATAATTTACAAGACAAATTTCACCTTCTTACCTGTTCACCCTCCGAGGACACTTATCTGGTTTGATATCCACCTCATAGAGGTAGACATCAATCTTTGGGATTTCAACTTGGAAGCAGTTGGCCAGCAGTTTAATGGGTTTGCCCATGGTGCCATAGCCAGGACGTCTGGGCACCATGAGTAGGGGCTGTGCCCCGACGGGTCCTGCAAAAAGAGAAAAAGATCACAGATTAGAAGACACGCACAACAGGCAAGCTGTGCCGCCAAGGTACTACTTGCTTACATTTCGGCAGTTTTAAATACACACAGCTCCTTGCCTTTGCAGGTACGCATACTTGTCTCCCACTGAGACTCACTAGCGTACTCCCTTTTTCAGCCTTCCCTGAACCAACTCACCGGGCAGGCACCCGAGCCAGCACACTGGAAGCAGGGAACAATCAGCTGTATCGAACAGCACACACCGAATGGCACGCTACCCTGTCAAGCTCCAAAGGAGCACTTGCCCGTTTCTCCTCCATGAGCCTCCACCTACATCTAGACCGTTTTCTTAGCGATGAGTTTCAGCTTCTGCGACTACCATAAATAAAATCAGATTTCCTAACAAACCAAGAAAGTGGGCTTTTCCTTATAACACTTCACTATTGTGGAAAGCCTGTCCGCCACTAAAACATAAAAGTTTTACAAGTCTTTTCCGAACACCCTAGCAATAACAAAGTTGCCGCACAATACAAAAATACGGAAGCAGTTCTGGACTGAGGTATGTTGTTTGCAATAAACTCTTGATTTAATTGCCATTATTAGCTTAGTCTTGGAAGACAGGTCATTCTTTAACTGTGCTGGCTGAAAATGGATGAAGAGTAAAACCGTTACCTCCTGTCTAACTGCAGCAATAAAGCCAATTGACCAGAATAGGAAAGATTCAGATTAAGACACAGGACTGTAAAACTCCTGATGACTTCTACATTAGAGAAGAATGCCCATAGCTGCTCAGAAAAACCATCAAAATCTGCAGTAAGAGATGGGTATTTTGAAAGCCAGTTAAAATGCCCATCTAGTAATATAAGTTACATTCTCCTCTGGTTATCTATTTAATGTACTCTGCATCATTTAGATGAGAATCTTCAGCTCAAGATTGGGGTTATTCATGCCTTACAAAACCAAACACAGTAGTAAACACACTCCACTTCCAAGAATTTCTACTGGTATTTCCACTTTAAAATATCTCTTTCCAGTCAAGAAACAACAACAAACCAAACATGCTTGGTAGCCTGAGTTTTAAAAAATTACTCATCGTACAAATGTCATGATTTACAGACCATTCGATTAGGTTAGTTAAAAGTTCTCCCCTCTGCTCCTACTCAGTGACGCAGACAGCAATTCCAGCCCACTCATTTTCATAGAAGAGTTAAAATGTCAAGTACTGGTAAAAATGTCTTCTTTGCCTTTTGATTAATCGCCACCATTCCTGGAAAAAAAATCGCATTATCTTGCAGGAAACCATGTACTGAGAATAAGTGGAACTTAGCTTTGATGTTCACCAGAACATTTATCTGGCTCTACCCAGAAACCTACCAAAAAATTCTGAGTGGGCTTGGCTTCGAGCCACAAGATAAAACAAAAACATAAACCAAGCAGCATCATTTCAAACACCCTCACAGGCTATGCTTATATCAAACTTGTTCCAAGCATCTGTTTGCTTCAACTTTTTCTTCATTTTAATACTGTCACACAAGCAGCTCTACAATTTACTCCAGATATATTTTCAGAATATAAGCACATGCAAAAAGTTACTACTAAACATTTGAGTGACATGAATGACTCAAGAGCTTATTTTAATGTTACAAAGACACACACGCCATAGTTTATATTCAGCTCGTGTCTGTAGGAAATGCTAACAAAATTGATGAAATAAAGTCAACATTAAAAAGGATGCTATAGTCTGCTCTGCCCTGTCTCCTCCCCCCACGCCATTTGTTAAAATCATGCAAAATGTAAAAACAGTTGCTAAAATTTGTAAGCGCACAAGAAAGTCAGTGTGAAGACAAATACAGTATGGCCAAAATCTTTGTCACCATCTCCCCTGGAAGCTGAACTTTTTTGAACCGAGTGCTCAGCTGCTGAAGAAGAGACAACCTGCTTCACCGGAACGCTACCCCGCTATCGACCCCTTTGCTGAGATTAACAGAATCCTAGCGAGCAACTGCACAGGGGCAAAAACCTGAAAGAGAGGAATGATACTCAGTTACTAAAACGTTGCAGGGTGCACTTCAAAAACCTGGGTCATAAAAAAATGCTCTACCCAAAGCCAAGTATGCAAGCAGGCCTCCAACCTCTGGCCCTTGGAAAGCAGCGGTGAATAAAACAAGAAAATACCGGTTGTTCAACAAAAGCTTTCTTCAGCCTCGCTTGTTCAGCCATACCACACACGGCTCCTCAGGAAACAGCTCACCCTGGAAGAAGTTAGAACCCAGATTTTGGCACAGAGGAATTAAGTGGCAATAAATGAGTAAGAAGTGCAGGTCTACACACTATTCCCTTGGACAAGTTCACTTAAAAACATGCGTATGTTGTAACTCAATTCTGCTGCCACCGTCCAAATACACTAGCACCCACTCAGAATATCCTGCTTTCAAAATACGCTAAATTGCCAGATAGCACGTAGCGAAAGTCTGTGTCACTGGCTTCAAACCTGTGACTCAAAACCCAATAAAAGACAAATAACCAACGACACCCTCCAAGGTCAGCTACTGCTCCCGTAGCGTATCAATGACTCACTCAACCTCATGCCTAAGTCCTGTGTCAGACTAATGGAAATAAACACACCAAGCAAAAATACTAAAGGAGTAGTATTCTAAAGAGCACAGAATGACTATGATTGGCAGACCGATCCCTTCATGTTACTGAACCATTGCAAAACCAAAACCCTTAAAGTTTCAAAAACCTTTGCAAAGCACTGCTGCAGCGTGGCCTGGCTCCGCGGGAGACGGAGGAACGCTCAGCCTCCCGGCGCCTGCCACAGAGCAGAAGCCCTGCGCTGTTCAGTTGCCCACAAGAGCAGTTTCAGAGGAGAAACTTCTTTGTGTTTAAGAAAATACTATTACTCTGCCATCAGAGCATCAAATATGTACATATACCTAGTATGCTCTTAAAAATCCATGAAAAAAACATAGATCAAGTCTGTATGGCCTGGCAGAATAGTACTCAATTCATAAAACCAGTTAAGGAAAGTCCCCAGCGTTGAGTCAACCGATTCACAGCACAGAACAACGGATACACAGAGCGGAACTGAAACTGGTGCTGCAGACAGGTTCTTGGAAGGCTCTTAGGCAGCCAGGGAGTATGTTGCAAGAAGATACAAGATGAGCCACTAAATAACTTGAACTTTCTGAATGTATGGTTACTCATTAGAAAAGATACAGGAAAAATCTGCAGAGAAAATATTTAACTAAGCATTTAAATCAGTAATAACACAAGCTAGAAAAAAAATGTCTCTTTGGGACCTGAAGGTGTATCAACTTATAAATTACCATTCACAGCATTTGCTGAAGTAGTTATTCATAAACATCCGTCGGCAATGCTGAAAGACTCTTTTCTCACAAGTGAATGCTCAGTGAAGAAGCAGGAGCAAAAGCCCTCACAGCATACCTGCAAAACAGCCTAATGCTGAACCAGAGCAGTTCCACCTACTCCGTGTACCCGCAGTGCCCCAGGGCGCGCGTACACCAGGGCACAAAGACCACGCTGTGCTCCCCACCACACTGCCACGATTCGCAGCAGGGACCTCGAACCCCCGTGGCATTTCCCAGGGGATTTAGGGATTTACACCGGCATTTCCCATGCGCATACACGGGATGTTAGTGCACGTCCGTCTGGCTGTCCGTCCGTGCCTGCCGCACGAGGCTGGGTACCACGTCCCACAACCGATGTCCCGTAACCACGCAGCTCGCTGATGAGAGACGGGAGATCTTTTGAAGAGCTTTCCTCGTATTTAATCTAACATGTCAACAAAACCCAAAAAGAGATGAAAATAGGAATTATCACTTTTAGAGGGCTTAATGAGGAAACTAATATCTCAAAACATTAAAAAAAAACTTTGCTAAAATGGACAAAGTGTATGGCTTATGAAATACATTCTGAAGAAAGAGCTCATACCAATGCTACTTTTTCAAAAGCCCAAAGTTGGGAGTAACATTAAAAACATGTGGACAATGAAATTAATTTCAAGTGTGATTATGTGGCAGCTCTGCCAACAGAAGCATTTGCTCCAACAGAATTTGAAAACGGTGGAAACGGGCAGTTGTCAGTATTCAGCTCCACAATCTGGAAATTCCTGTTAAAGTCAGATCACATTCTGGACCAACATGGAAGTGCCTCTAAGGGTTTAAGTGAGCTCTGAATCGGAATCTTGTCTGCCCTGTTCTTATAGATGCTACAATAAAGATTAAACACAACAAAAATTGACTGTAATTTCTACGGCAACACAGCCAGCAGCGTGGAACACATCTGGCGTGCATCCAGAACGCAGGCCTGAATCTACCTAGCAACCAAACGAAGCCCTAATCGGAATAAAGCCTGAACAGAAAGAGCACAGGCACAGGAACCCGCAAATACTTTCAGCAAACCATTTTACAGAAGACTGAAGCTTTTGGCATGCGAGACAGTTTTATGGCATGAAGCAAAATACTGATTTCTAGCAAGATGCTACTAGAAAACACGTATTTCCTTACGTGCTCCTTTCCTTATAGAGACATCAGCACCAAGCTTCTAGCAAAAAATTATCCTCTTTCCAACTGTAGCTTCAGCCTTACAAACCCAAAATAATATTAACAGATGATTGCTTAGTTCTATTTTTGTTCTAAAATCTGTAATTGAATGGGTGACTGAACAGCCTTAAACACATGGCAGAGGACTTAACAGGTAAAATATGATTTAAACTCTGGCTCAGTGACACACGGCAGATTTGTCTAACAGATCCTGTCCTCAGGCTGGAGCCTGCACATGGGAGAAACCTCTCCATGGAGGGGGGAGAGGATGGAGGGGAAAAAAAGATTCCCTTTCAGAGGGCCTCCGGCCTCTGCTTGGACTCAGAGGCCCAGCCTGCGGAGCTCAAAGAAAATTCTATCACTACTAAAAAAATAAGTTAATTCTAGATTAAAAAAAATAGATAGGTGAGATTACATTTAAATGTTGGTTTCAATAATCGAGCTCCTTACTTCTGCCAGAAATCATGAATTGCCTTATTTCTGCAGCAGCCGCCTCGCTGGGTGGCATTACATTATTTATGAGTAATGCAATCCACGTTTTCTAAACATTCCTACTTTCCATTTAGGCTGGTGGGGGCTTTTTTCTTGTTTGGTTGGGTTTTTTTAAGGTTTCAGATCATAAGTTATGTTAAAACTCATCGAAAGCCAACATTTTGATGCCATGCTCCGCAACAGCCAACTGCACAAGCAAATCACGAGCGTGCTAACTTGTTCTGTCCTAACGAAGTTACAGAACATTCAGTGAAGGGCTTTGGAAGCATTTGCAAGATCATACACTCTTCTGAACCATTAAAAAATACAATCATAAAGAACTCTAAGCTCAAAAAAGCAGCTTTTGTGCAGATTGTAAAGTCACTACCTAACTGCTCTGGGAGAAGGGAACACGACAGCCCCCACGAGCACAGCGATGCTTCTCCCTTGAAGGTGTCTCCACTGACCAAAATCGGGATGGCAAACCGGCA